GGCATATGGGGCCAGTGCCCTAATCTTTTGAGCCACAGGCCTGCCCCCTTGTTTTTTGTTTTTTAAATTGAAATAGATTCTCACTTTGTCACCCTTGGTAGAGTGCCATGACATCATAGCTCACAGCAAGCTCAAACTCTTGGGACTCAAGTGATTTGCTCGTCTCAGCCTCCCAAGTGGCTGGAACTACAGGTGGCTGCCACCAGACCTGGCTATTTTTTAGAGATGAGGTTCAGGTTCAGGCTGGTCTTGAACCTGTGAGCTCAGGCAAACCACCTGCCTCGGCCTCTCAGAGTGGTAGGATTATAGGCATGAGCCACCGAGCCTGCCCTCCCTTGACTATTATACTATAATTACATTTATTCATTTTTTAGAGACAAGAGTCTCACTTTGTCGCCCTCAGTAGAGTGCTGTGACATCACAGCTCATAAGCAACCTCCAGCTCTTGGACTTAAGCAATTCTCTTGCCTTAAGTCTCCCAAGTAGCTGGGATCCAGTAGCATTGTGGATCACCCCACAATGCCCTGCCATTTTTTTGTTGCAGTTTGGCTGGGGCAGGATTTGAACCTGCTATCCCCAGTATATGGGGCCGGCACCCTACTCACTGAGCCACAGGTGCCGCCCCTCCCTTGACTATTTTAAAAGTAAAATCTTAAAGAATATCTCTTGCTATATTTCAATACCAAAACCAATTACTTTTCAACCCTGAAATTATAGCTATTTGTTTTTAGAAGACAGCAGGTTTTCAACGATGCCTCAAATGAGATAGCACACTGCAAGGCAACCTTTGTTAAAGATGTCAGCAGATGCCTACTCAGCCTGCCTTAAATGTGTGTCTCTTAAGGTTGACCCTACTCCTTAGAAGCTGTTATTGCTGGTTTCAGAACAACTTTTCTGTATCAATCCATGTTCTGACTATATCATATACAGAAAAATCATAGAAAAAATAAATACATAGGGCAGCACCTGTGGCTCAGTGGGTGGGGTGCCGGCCCCATATACCGAAAGTGGTGGGTTCAAACCCAGCCCCGGCCAAACTGTAACAAAAAAATAGTTGGGTGTTGTAGTGGGCGCCTGTAGTCCCAGCTACTCAGAAGGCTGAGGCAAGAGAATCACCTAAGCTCAGGAGTTGGAGATTGCTGTGAGCTGTGTGACACCATGGCACTCTACCTAGGGTGATAGTGAGACTCTGCCTCTACAAAAAAAAGAAAAAACACAACAACAATAAAATAACATCTTTTTTCAATTAGCCTGGCATAGCAATATGGCAATGTCCCTTTCTTAGGGAGTCTTATATTCTTTTAGTTCAGTCACTGACAGACCTGTTTAAGTTATATAATATAGTCATATCTGAAAATGTCTATAACAAATATAAGTAATCACTCACTATTTTTTTAAAATTCATCATGTAAATGAAAAGATAAAACTTTAATTTAGTGGTTCTTTCATAAAGGTATACTGAAAGAGAAACCCATGCTTAAGATCAGAAATGATACAGAATCTAGTATATTCATTCATAAAGATAATTAAAAGATATACAGGAAAATTACAAATTTTTAGCTTTTTGTTTAGCACTGCGTGCCTGGCTGTTTTTATTTGTCACCCAGCATAGTAACATAATCATACCTCATTGTAACATCAAATTTGTGGGCTCAAGCAATACTCCTGCCTCAGTCTCTCAAACATTTGGGGCTAAAAAAATGCATACCTGGCTAATTTTTATTTAGCATTGTTATTAATTTGTATTACCAGAAAGGCCTTAAATGTAATAGAAAATGATACCAATCACATTTAGCAAATAATAAATTAAAGATGAATAAAATTCATAAGGTTTTACCCGCTTATCCAGTGTTCTTTCCCTTACAAAACCAAGCAGCTGATCATTTACTAAGGCAAGGTCTCTTTTGGCAGCTGTTATTATAGTTACAATGACATCATGACGAATAGCTTCTTCTGGATCATGAGATCTAACCTTCAAATATTCTGTAATAAGAGAAAAAAACTCAAGCTAATTTTAGCTATGGCATTTGGCATTGATTCAAAAAGACACAAGAGACTAGTAATGCTTTATGTTTTTGTCTATACTAAAACAATGTGTGTAAACTATGGCATGAATTAAAATCATTTTCAAGCCAGCAGTATTCTATTGTAACCACAAAGCTTTGCTTATAACTGTTCTGGAGTTAACTGATTTAGATAGTTTAAAATTTCAGTTAAAAATTAAAGAGTTTACAGAAAATAGTAAAAATACCTATAAGAAGTTAGCTAATGGGTATACATTTGCATATACATGATATAAATTTTAAGATATTTTATAATTTCTAAAAAAGTCCCAAAATAATTTATAATACTAACTCAAAACATGGCATTTCCTGTGGTTTTTGTAAATCACAGTTTTTTGATAGAAGCTACTTAATTGTTACTACCCAATAGATAAATTTAAATGCTCTAAATTTGAGTGAAGAATGAGTAATTCTACAGTAGCACACAAGATAATCAGTTTCCTACTAATCATTAGACATATTACTATATTTAATTATGTAATTATTTGCGCCCAAATCCAATATTTTCAGAAATATTCTATTTTATCAAATTCTATAGGATTAAAATATAAAGATATTTAAAAGTTAAAAAAGTAAAAATAGGCTCAGTGCCCATGGTCAGTCGTTAGGGCACCAGCCACATATACTGGGGCTCTTGGGTTTGAACCTGGCCCAGGCCGGCTAAAACAAAGATGACACCTGTAACAAAAAGTTAGTCGGCAATTGGTGCCTGTAGCTTAAGTGGCTAAGGTGCCAGCCACATACACCAGAGCTGGTGGGTTCAAATCTAGCCCAGGCCTGCCAATCAACTACAACCAAAAAATAGCCGGGTGTTATGGCACGCGCCTGTAGTCCCAGCTACGTGGGAGGCTGAGCCAAGAGAATCGCTTAAGCCCAGGAGTTGGAGGTTGCCGTGAGCTGTGGTATCATGGCACTCTACCAAGGGCAACAGCCTGAGGCTTTGTCACA